GTTCATTTCACCGAGGGCCTCACGACCCATGGTGAGTTCTCTTCCTGTATTGTCTCCTCCCAGTTTCGCATTCATGTCGCCCATCAGGATTTTGATATCGCTCTTTGGGACGTTGTCCATTACTGTTTGTAGTTGACTGTAGAAGTCCTCCTTCTTCTCATGTTCTGAGGCGTTTGTAGGCGCGTAGCACTGAATGATTGTAACCTTTTTTCCTTTTGAGTTGAACCTGGCTGTCATTATCCTGGAGGAGATTGGTTCCCACTGCATGAGAGCTTTAGCCGCTGTTGGTGACATCATGATGGCTACTCCCTCGGTGTGCTCGTGATTGTCCTCTGGGTGACCGGAGTAGATTATTGTCTCTCTAGTTGATAGTTGGCTCCTTCCACATCCGTTCCATCTGCTCTCGCAGATTCCCAACACTTCTATTCTATATCTCCTCATTTCTGCGGCTACCTGAGCAGCCTTCCCAGCTTCGTACATTGTACGAACATTCCACGTCCCCATCCTTATTTTCGCTTTCATCGAAAGAAGGCACATCGGCTGACTGGCTTCCCGAAGGCTTTCACCAGCCCGCGTCATTTCACTTCCCCGATTCCAGCGAAAAATAAGGTCACTATTTGTAATTTTAGAATTTTGAATATATTTGTGCGTTGAAGTTTTAGTAGCAATTTGGTTAAGTTTTGGGGGTGGAGTTGCTAGCACCACGCCCCAACCCTCCCTCTTTATCCGGGCTTGGGACCGGCTAGAATACTAGTGACCTAGTAATCTAGGCGAGGTTACTGATATCAATTAGAGAACCATTAAAAACAGGCAGGGAGTACTGGGCAGCTGTTTCATCAAACTAGTTTGGGAATCATCGGCAGTACGCACCCACTGGGATTCGAACCCAGGACCTTCCGGTTACAAGGCAAGCTCGAATACCATTCAACCAGTGGGACCCGATTCAAGTGCGTACTGCCGATGATTCCCAAACTAGGATGAAACAGCTGTTCAGTTCTCCCTGCTTGTTTTCAATGGTTCTCTAACTGATATCAATCCGTGATCAACTCGTAAAAACATAACTAACCCTTACAAACCAAACTATAGAAAAATAATTTAATTTATTCCAAAACAGTACTTATGGTAAGTACATAGTGTGGAATTCTCAGCATTTGGTACAATAACCAATCTAATTTACTGAACAACAACAGGAAAAGGTACATTACAGGGTACACTTAACCAAAATTATTGATAACAGCGACTTTTCGCATTAACAGAAACAGTGTAGGGTCAAAATAATAATAATAATAATAATAATTTGCTTTATTCCAAAACAGTACTTGTGATACAGAATGGAATTCTCAGCATTTTTACTACAGTATTGCATCCAGTTAGTACATTGTCAATAAATAGAATTCTACATAGATTGAGGAAACCACAGTTCATTATTACAACAATACATTGGCATGTTCAGTAGCAAAGGTAAAGCTGAAACAGTGTTTGAAGGTGTTAGAAAAGTGGGAGCTGTCTTATTAACTGGCGTAAGCGAAAGAAAGAGACAAAGCAGCACATAACGGAAAGAGAAGAGAGAGAAAAGGAACAGAAAGAAAGGAAATGTTGAACCTATTGATGAAGTGGGTTGGAAAGATGAGATCCAGTTGTACTAATGACTATTTAATGAATTATAGGTGTCACGCCTAATGCTTTCTTTATCACACAGAACGCGAGCTAAGTAGGGTATGGTTGAGTTTTTGTACTTGCTGGTGCGAGCATATAGTTTTCTATATTGGCTTCTGGTTTTACCTGATGAGATGCAAGGGGAGAGTTGTGAGTGAAGAGGGTGGTGTGAGTTAGATAAAATGGACTTGGCCCATTTTTCACATGAGTCCATGTGCCTGTCAACCAAAATATTAACAAGCTGGTTAAGTGGCACGTTGCTTACTCTGCTGACAACATTTAACATCCTGCGTAATATGTTATAGTCTTTCTTCAGTAGCCCAGGAAAAACTAAGGGGGAACAATAGAGAATAATAGGCAGGATGCGAGAATTAACGAATTGTAGGAGTAGGGGTTGGATAATACCAGAATGTTTTAACTTCTTAATGTAGAAGGCAAGACGGAATATTTTCTTAGAAATTGCTAAGATATGAGACGACCAGGAGAGATCAGCAGATAGAATGACACCTAGGTATTTAATTTCCGATTTAGTTTCTATTTCAGTGCCGTCTATTTTGCATACCTCGTGAGAGCCAAACAGTTTGTTTAGGTCGGATTTATGCCTAAAGGTGAAATTGACTGTTTGGCATTTGGAAGGGTTTAGAGTAAGACCATTTTCCTTGGACCACTGGTTGATTTCTGACAGAAAGCCATTAAGTTTAGAGCAGTCGCTTTGACATTTGATAGGCAAAGATACAGACAGATCATCAGCGTATTTGACAAAATTAATGTCATTTGAAGATGGTAAGTCATGTAGAAAGAAGGAAAAGAGAAGTGGGGAGAGTACAGCGCCTTGGGGGACTCCGGCTTCAGTGAGTGCAGCAGAGGATGATTTACCTTTGTATACGGTGTACTGCTTTCTGTTAGAGAAGTAGGAATGCAACCAGTTAGTGACCCAGGACTCAGTTTTCGTCAAAGAGAGCTTATTTAGAAGGAGACATCTAGGAACAGAGTCGAAAGCAGAAGTGAAGTCAAGAAACGTGCAGCGGACGTATTTAGCACCTTTATCTAATGATGAGACGATGTTGTTGTGTAAGACAGCTGCAGCGTCTAATGTACTCCTACCCTGTCTATAGGCAAATTGTTTTGGGTCTTCGAAGTTTTTAAGGGAGGGTTCGAGTTTAAGAAGTATTAGTTTTTCCATAAGCTTTAAGAACGGGGAAGTGATGGCAATGGGTCTGAACTTTACGTTCTTGCCATTTCCAGGTTTAGGGACAGGGACAATTTTGATGTCTTTCCATGCATCAGGTACGATATTTTTGGAGAAAGAGGCATTTAGGATGTTGGTTAGTGGAGAACACAACACATCTGCACATTGTTTTAGAACATAGGCAGGTATACCATCAGGACCTAGGCTACGTGAGGGCTTGAGTGTTTTAAGACATTTTAGAACATCGAGAGTATTAAAGTCATGAAAGTTTTCAGCAACATGATGTGTAAATGTAAAATGATAAGAACAATAATTATATTATTTTATTTATTTTTATTTATTTTGATTACAGCTTGATTCCACACCGTATTTTCAGTACAAGTATGGAATTTTCAGCATGGATATCGGTAGCCCAAATTTACAGGTCGACCATAGATATCGGGTGTGCGCCGGCAGGGGATCGAACCCCGGACCATGTGCATGGTCGGCGAGAGTCCTAACCATTGTGCCACCGACGCATTAATAATACAAAATTATACGATATTTGAAATAGTGTCACCATAAATAATAAATAGGAGAAGACCAAAGAGTTATTTATTTTGCTAATCGCATGGTAAGTTGTTATGTTTCACGCTTAACGCTATCTCTATCACATAGTGCTCAGACGGGCTAAATAGGGTAGGTATCGCTGAATTTTTGTACTTAGTTGTTCGAGCGAGCATATAATCTTTTATAACGACTTCTCGTCCTACCTGATGAGATGCAAAAGGAGAGTTGTGAATAGAGAGGGTGGCTTGAGAGTCAGACAGTATGGATTTAGACCATTTCTCATATGAGTTTAGGTGTCTATCGACTATAATAGTAACCAACAGCACAAAGTTAAACTATCATAGCCAATACCACAGTGACCTTGGACAACCAATCAGAATCCAGATGCAAAGAAGTCGCATAATCGTTGAAATATACACTAAAAGAAACATTCCAAACATGGGCGAGGTTAAAGTATCATAGCCAAGGTCAAGGTCTTTCGAAAGTTGACCTTCATTTACCGATGTGACACAGGGAACGTTATGAAATGTCATTCTAGATCAAATCATGCCTGCCGTTGTACTTTTGCTACAAATCTATAATGTATAGGTATAACCCTATAGGGTTATGGCCTTTTAGATTAAGGTCTAGGGTTAAGGTTAAGGTTAGGAGTTAGGACCATGGTTAGAGTAAGAGTAGGTTGAATCATAGTGTCAGAAATATCAATAGATCTCAAAGTACCATAACCTGCTGTCACCTGGATGAATGCATATATCGCGTATGTTCCGCTTTCTCTATAGATCATCTGTGTAGTAACTGAGAGACATTTGTTACAACACACAAACTACAACTATATAGTGTAATATCAAGTTTCCAATATTTTCCAGTGTACTTTCCAACGATTATACAACTTTTTTGCATCTAAGTTCTAGTCGGTTGTTTAAGGTCATCGTGGTTTTTGCTATGACAGTTTAACTTTGATCCAAGCTGACAAAGTGTCACACAACTTACCCTATTAACAACCTTTAATACCCTTCGAAATATGACATAGTCCTTTTGAGTAGCCCAGGAAAGACTATATGGGAGCAATAGGTAAGATGCAAGAGTTAGCAAATTGTAAAAGTAGGGAGAGGGTGAGTGATTCTTCATCGTCTTAACTTCTTAATGTGGAGTAGGTAAGACGGAACATCTTAGAAATGCACAAGATATAGGGAGACCAAGAAAGGTCAGATGATAGAACTATTCCAGGGTATTTTATGCTTGACTTGTTCTCTGTATCAGTGCCTTGGAAGCTGCAAAAATTGTTTGAACTAATGAGTTCATTGAGATCGCGTTTATGCTCCTAAAGGTCAAATTAACTGTCTGACATTTTTAAGGATTTAACGTAATGACCATTAAGCTTAGACTGCTGGCTAATGTTGAACAGAAAGCTGTCTAGTTTGGAAAAGTCAGCTTGGGAAGTAATTGACAACGAGACAGGATGTTTAACAAAGTTGATTTCTCTCGACCAATAATGTATGTAAAAATGGACTTCAGAGATATCTTAACGTGCTATACTTTGTGTTTTTATTCTCTTCCTAGTAATCTCGTGTTTCTTTGTAAAATGATTTTTTCTTATATAATTTAGTTTCAACAAGGTGGTGCTCCAGCTCAACAACCACCTCCATCCTATCAACCGCCTGTACCAGCTCCAGCTCCAGGAGTAATAGGTTTCGGAAGTAAGCACAACGCTTTTTCACTTTTCGACTACTCATTTTTTTTTAAGTCTTGATAATTTACAGTGCTGTTTATGGTGGTAGTGAAGTGCTAATAGAAATCCGACCGACAGTTGCTACCCTGATTCGGTTGGTGGTCGGGTTTGCATATCGCAATGACCCGATGAACTACACGGACTGACTGGAACTATTGTTCCTGCAGGTTCTACCATGCTAGAAAGTTGTTTTGGATAGTAGTCAAACTAAAAGCAGTTACACCATCATAGTATTACTTGTTTACACTGTGTGGGAGAGGGTTGATTCTGGGGGCAAAGTTGTACGTCTGGCAAGTAGGGATTTTAAGTTTAATTGTGAGTTAACACCAGTTAGAGAACTATTGGAAAACTAACGGGGAGTACTGGACAACTGTTTGGGACTCCTCATCAGTACGCACCCACCAAATGGGGTTGGAACTCAGGACCTTCCGGTTACAAGGTGAGATCGTAGATCATTCTCAGCTACTAGGACCCGACTCAATAGCTCTACAAACAAACTCATAGGAATTAACCTAATGCTCCTTAGGGACTGGCTACAGAACGAATTTACCTAAAGCTCTGGTGAGTAGTCGTGACCAGCGGGACGAATACTCACCAGTAATGACATTGATAGAAGTTAAAATTCACTGGTTAGTCATTGAGTCGAATCTGAATGGTCGACGAGCTTGGCTTGTAACCGAAAGGTCCCGAGTGTAAACCCCTGTGCTGGGTGCTAACCGCCGATGTGTCTCAAACTGAAGGGTGAAACAACTCTGCAGTACTCCCTCCTGGCTTTCAATGATTCTTGCCATGTTTTGATTTTGCCCCATCTGTAATCTCTTTTTCGACCTAATCGTATGTCAGCTAACATTTTTGGATGAGAAAGGCGGTGGATTTGTGTAAATGTCACGATTCTTAGTCACCTCAATCGATGCAGCTTTAAAACCTCGTGTGGAAACTATTCGTCTTTACTTAAGAGTCATTTGTTTAGATATTACACTATTATTGGATTATCAAGTTGCGTTAGTTATCTCTTGTACAACATAGACAAATTGTTCGGACCGTCGATTATTCGATGGTTGAAGGCAATTAGCAGGAGGAAGCCTTGCGTGACCTAGGTTCTTTGCTTGTTGGCAGCAAGGCGTATCTGCAATTACCTTGAAAGAACTTATATCCCTCCTGAGATTCAAATAGGAATCTCCCAGTGCTACTTGCAATCAGAAATGCGTTACCACTTGAGCTATTTGGACTCGGGATTGACCTCCTCTGTAGGACTGTATTGGATATTGTTTACTAACTGGTGTCCAATCAAAGACTGTCTGAACAAAGTAAGAACGGATCTATTTGCAGGACGAAAGTGAGCTCAATTTTTATTTTACGAGTTTTGTTCAACTGCCTACAGTGTAACGTTGTATAAGTTCTTATAAATGAAAATATATAATGTGCTTTTAAAAATTAATTAAACAGAAAGAGTGTTTTGATTGGACACCAGGTGTAGTAACTAGTGTAATGTGTCTAGTTCTTCCTCTGGTGGAGACTGAATTCGATCTGTCAAGTTTGGAATGTAGACAGGAAGGCTACGTGTGCTTTTGGAAGTGTGTCAGTGGTTGTTAGTTCCCGGTTGCCCACACCGTGGAAGTTGATTGATTCTTCTGGTACCTGAAACAGGAAGAGAGTTAGTGTTGCGTGACCGCAGAGTCCAGCGGACAACTGCTTGAGGCCGGTCACACATGGCCTGTATGAACTGGCTTTTAGGTTTGGTTCCGTATTAGTAACTTGCCGCCGCTTACAGACCACCGTAGGGTAAGTCAGGATGTACAATTGTTGGGGTCGACCTTTTCTAACCCTTCTCTCCCCCCCCCCAGAGTGGAGAAACAGCATAGCTGTCTAACTGGTTGGCATGCTGGTCATCTGAAGGGAAACACCTCACTGCTGTTATATCCCTGTTCCCCAGAAGTACGACTTCGCCAACAGACCCCCAGCATAGTGAAAAATGAATTCTTACACTACGCCGATAACTGCTTTTAGTCTAATCGCTATCCTAACAACCTTCCTAGCATGGTTGGAGCTGCAGAAACAACAGTTCCAGCCAGTATAGCTTGTTGGGTCATTACGATATGCAAGCCCAATCACTACGTCAGGGTAGCAGCTATCGGTCGGGGCAATGTAGCCACCATGTGACGTAGTGGCTCGCCATCACGATGCATTGCACTATGAATTATTCATATTAGATGGTTGGAGACAACCGCCAAGAGGAAGCCTTGGACCTAGGTTATATACTAGTTGGCACTCACCAGTCAGCAAGGCGTATCTGCAACTCTGAAGGAATTCATGCACTTACAGAAGCTCAGTTGCTGACTACAGCACTGAGTGACACGGGTTCGGATCTCAGAAGGAGGGACACAATTTCCTTCAACGTTTGAGATACGCCGTACTGACGAGTGCCAATTAGTACGAAACCTAGGTCGAAGGCTTTCTCTGGGTGATCGCCTCCAACCATTTAATATCAACAATTCAAAGGGCTTTTATTGTTTAGCACTGAGTAGAGAACATTTAGTAGATTTACTGAGCATTATTCCTAACAATCTTCAAATGTGATTAATCATGCATATTACCCTGATAACTCAACGTCTCCTTTTTGTATCACTTCATTTTGGATTTTAACTTACTGACCTGAACTCATTCTTAATCTTCCAGACTTTATCGTAATCGCTTGTTTACATCTGACTGGCTGAGTTTCAGCATAGAACTTTACCCAGAGAAGTGCAGCAGTTCAAGTTGTCACACTCAATGTAACACACAAACGCACAAAAAAAGAATTCAAAAGGACCTATAGTAAGCAAACATTTGTAGGAAAAAGACTACTAACATGGAGAGAGATTATAGTGAATGTCTTTGCACCATTTTGGGATGATTTTGAGCGATATCATCGATTGTCTCCGGCCATTGTTTTTCCGCTACTCCAAAGACCTCAACCAAGAAACTTACACATCCGTACGTGGCTGGCTCAAACCAACTGTCAGAGATTTCATGGACTGATTCCAAGTTTTGGTTTGATCACCACCACCACCACCAGTAGCTCTTTTCCAATCTAATCCTGTGTCAGTTAACATTTCCCGTTGAGGAAGGTGATGGTTAGGAACATGTGTTGCGCAGTCGATGTAACTTCACAATCTCATCGATTGACCTTCCCTTCTTATCTAACACTCAACGTTTAACCTCAATGTTATTCACCGTACCATACCACCAGCTAACATGGGAGATAGAACTCAGACAACTCTGCTCGAACGCGGCCAACGTTTTTATGTCTTTCACTTTCAATGACCATGTCTGATAGCCATAAAGGCGGATGGAGCGAACTGGTGCTCCTGCATACAGTACACACGTCCATTTGATCGATAGGCCAGCGAGTTGACCACGTCTACACTAGAGATATGGTGTCAGTCGGAAGATGCCTCATGAGGCCTGTTTAAATAGTAATTTCACTTTCCCTAACCATTTCTTTCCACTCCCATCTTCTCATGTCTAACTTTTCATTGATTATATTATGTATACGTCTCATTTCCCGTATGTGTATGCTGTATGAGTTGAAATATTTGTCGAGTTATGTTATATGTGATATTTTGCATTTATGATAACTTATGCCGTGTTTTCAGCTGTTAGCGACTGGAGGAACGCCGTGAAATAGACAGGATGAAATCTTTCCCTATTCCAAGATATATATATATATATCCTTTCTTGCTTTGTTCAAAAGCTAATCATAGCAGCTGGGTGTCTGAAGGGAGACTGCGATCGGTATTACTATTATCATCTCATCCCGACCGATAGCTGCTACCTTGGCGTGGTGGTCAGGCTTGCATATCGCAGTGACCCAACAAGCTACACTGGCTGGAACTATTGTTCCTGCATGTCTAACTATGCTAGGAAGGTTGTTAGAATAGCAATTAGCCTAAAAGCAGTTACCGGTATAGTGTAGGAATTCATTTTACACTATGCTGGGGGTCTGTGGGTGAAGTCGTACTGCTGGGGAACAGGGATGTAACAGCATGCCAGCTATGCTGTTTCTCCACTCTGGTGGGAGAGAGGGGTTAGATAAGGTCGACCCCAACAATTGTACATCGCGACTTACCCTATGGTGGTCCGTAACCGGCGGCAAGTTACTAATACGGAACCAAACCTAAAAGCCAGTTCATACAGGCCGTGTGTTAGCGGCCTCAAGCAGTTATCCCCTCCGCTCTGCGGTCTTGCAACACTAACTCTATTTCTGTTTCAGGTACCCGAAAAACCAATCAACTTCCATGGTGTGGGCAGCCGGGAAGTAACAACTGCCCGCTCACTTCCAAGAGCACACATTATCATCTCATAATGACCCATTCTTGATTCACTCGTCAACTCTTATTTATTGACATTCAAGTTCATTTTTCAGTTGAATTATCAACTAATTCATGCACTTGTATTCTTATTTTTCAGTGCCTGATGCAGCAGCTTATGGGGGTAATCCTGGTGAGTTAACCGGATTTATTGTTGTCGTTATGGAAAATCTCATTCATTCTATGTATATATTTGTTTGATGCACAGTAATAAGAAAATTTGATGCGTCGTTGGTGATTCGCTGGCTGTAGGAATGCTCACCAACCGTGCTACTCACGTGGCCTAGGGTCCGATTCTCTGCTGCTGTAGTCTCGTAAGCCTCGCTTAGCCAGCCAGCCAACCAGCCAGTAGTAAGCCCAGTAAAATGGGAAGATTGGGCTTGTGGGCGAGTTAGACTAGTAATTCCACCCTTTGCTGATATGTCAAAGCTCAAATCTTGAAACCCTAGATCCCACTAGCAAAACATTGGTCCACTTTGACATGAATATATACCGGTTGACTTGCTCTTGTGGAGCTGAGTACATTGTCTGTACCTTGCATCCGCTTGTAAAAAGTGCTCGACAACACTGTCATCCAGCGTAGTTGGCAAAGGGAAAACGCAAAGGTATATATTAGTTTGGTAATAGAACATCTTGTGAATTCAGGACATTCAGCTCCATTTGATGTAAAGTCCTTCAGTGTCACATACAAGATCCGACCAAACCTCTCTCTCATAGGGAATGAAATCAGGGCATCTAGGAATAGCTGAGTCAGTAGCGATCCAAAAGTTTGCGCCCATGGTATGTATTCACTAAAGAAATACGTCCAATCATTGTCTCTGCTACCATGGCCATCATAAAAAAAGTCAGTTCTATATCCAATAATGATTATCCCATCACTTTTCTTATCCAATCTTCCTGTTTATTTCTGTTAATTTCCACGTTTTAAAAAAAAATCCATATGTGCTTTACTGTCTTTTTATCAGAACTTCGTATTTATATTACACTTAGTAATTTTATTGTTTGACCTTTGACCGGGAATAGTTCTGCAATCTTTTCACCCATTTACCACATAAATACACGAGTGTGCAGCCTAGTTGATACTGACTTCATCGAAAAGAAAATTTCCTTCGTCGCTGCAGTCAACTATCTTCTCAATATTCCCTATGGTCTAATGTGTATCTCACGTGAACACAGAGGAATTGAGTAAAAATAATTGTAAAATAATTTACTTTATTCCAGAAACAGTACTAGTGGTACAATGTGGAATTTTCAGCACATATCTACAATATTTGCATCTAATTTTATCCAACGTTTAAAAGGAGTATTTTCAAAAATAAATAAATATAAAGACAACAACAGCAAAAAAAACACGAAATAATTTTTAAAAAATGAGAAAAAATACCAAGAAGTAGAAAGGAAAATAAACAGCATAATAAATAATATCTCAGTATTGGGTAGTGGAAGGTATGATATGATTATGCATGGTGACAGTAAAGCTATAGTCATACAAGAAGTTATCAAATGATATTTAAGAATGTTTATCGCCGAGATGATCAGTTAATTTGGTTGAAACAACTCTGAACAATCATAAAATAACATTTCAGGCTTGTTGTTTTGTTTTTTATTGTCAGGTCGAATGCAGTGTTTGTAGTGGTGTAGTGTGAGTAATCCTGAATAATACAAAATTTTGAGGTGGTGACAATGGCGTTCACAACTAATGATTGTCAGTTAATATTGCCGAACAAAAAAACAACAACCACAAAATCTAATAATTACATGATGGTTAATGACAGGACAATTTGTACTACCAGTAAAAATAAACTGACAGATTTGTTCACAAGTTGACATCAGTTAGAGAGCCATCGGAAAACCACTAGGGACTTAGTGAACGTCTGTTTCGTCCTCATGGTTCGGGACTCCTCAGCAGTACGCGCCCACCGGAAGTCGAACTCAGGACCTTTAAGCCACCGGGACCTGATCCGAATGCCCCATGAATTCCAACTTCTGCCAATCCGCGATATATAGGACGACCTTCAACCAATGGCATCGGCGAGTAACTGTTCTCTTAGCAGACTTGGTTGATGCCATTGGTTACAACTTCTCAGTCGAACTCCAGGTAACTTGGTGAATATAGATCCAGTTGCTAGTTGAGCATCAGATTATTTATTCAAGTGTTGGTCTGCAGGGATTTGATTGGTGGCTACAGGTTTGATCATGAGTTTGTGTGGTGAGAGCTGTGTCTGCTAGCCAAAATTGTTAGACAGCAATTCGCGTCAATGTTTATTATTATTATCATTGTTCCCTTGGGTTCGTAGTGGAACATAGGGCTTCAACTACACGTTTCCACTTGCCTCTATCTCCTGCTCTATTCTTCACTTGCATCCATGTTATTCCATACTGATTCAACTCTTCTTCACACGATCTCCTCCATGTCACCCTTGGACGTCCCACTCGCCGCTTCCCATTCGGGTTCCACTCGAGTGTTGGCCTGACGCGCGATATCACCCAGTGGCCTCCTCAGCGAATGTCCAATTCATCTCCACTTTCTCCTGCATATTTGTTGGGCGATTGGTTCCTGTTTTGTTTTTACCCATAGTTTCTTGTTGGTGATTCTTTACGGTGGCCATCTGATCTTCAATGTAGAGCCAGCGAAGACAGTTGTTGATAAAGGTCTGCAACAGGCTGTTGGAAATATTTTTTGTGATCCGCCAAGTTTCGGATTCGTATAGAAGAACTTACTGACTTGACGTTTGTATTGAAAATCCGAATTTTGTTGTTGATGTTGAGTGACGAAGATTTCCAGATTGGTTTCAGGTTGATGAATGTGTTTCTCGCCTTCCTGATTCTCGATCTGACATCCTCATCCGTCGGTTTCTCCTGTAGTTGAGACAATGCTCCCTAGATAAGTGAATGGCTGGCTGGCTGGATTCAACATAGAACTTGGCACCGAAGTGCAGCAGTTCCAGTTGCCACGTTCCAAAGAGCACTCAAAGGTAGACAAGAAAATTAGTGAAGAGAATCAATAGAATAGATAAGTGAATAAATCCAGCGCTAATCACCATCAACAGGAGGATTTGAAAGAAGTTACTTTAAATAAGTCAATAAAGTAACTTCTTTCAAATCCCTCCTGTTGATGGTGATTAGCGCTGGATTTTGCTGCTGCTGTTGTTATTGTTGGTTGGTTATTTTCATAACCTCCGTCTTATCTATGTTCACCTGGAGTCCTGTCTTTGCTGCTTCTTCGATCAGTTTGTCGGTTTTGCTTGCAAGTCTTCGATTTTGTGTGACATCAAACATAAATCATCCGCGCGCGAAATCCAGGTCTTCTAGGTTCTTCATGTTGGTGATCCAGGATATCCCTGTCTTCTCGTTTCCCACTGTCTGACGCATAATCCAGTCCACCACAATTAGGAATATCATTGGTGATAATAAGCACCCTTGTCTGACTCCTGTGTTTACTCCAAACACTTCGCTGAGTTCTCCGTTGTGGATCACTTGACATGTGCCGTTGTCGTACAGCTGTTGAATAAGGCTGATGAATATTTCGGGTACGCCGTAGTACTCGAATAGTTTCCAAATTACTTCGCGGTCAACGCTGTCGTAGGCCTTCTCAAAGTCTATAAAGTTGAAGTAGATGTTTGATTTCCATTCCATGCTTTGTTTGTTGATGTTGCGTAGATTTGCAATTTGGTCAGAACATGATTTGCCTTTCCTGAATCCAGCTTGTTCTGGTCGGAATTCTGCATCCAATGCGTCCTTTATTCTCTCCAGGATTATGCTACTCAGAATTTTACTTGGCGTTGACAGGAGCAGTTTTTTTTTAAAAACTGTTGTAATACTTTATTTATATTATATATAGGTGGATTTGCCCCTCTGCCTGCACAACCACCGCCTCCGTCCAATTATCCGTATCCAACTGGAAACTATGCGCCGCCTCCTACACAACCAATGGCTCCTGTGGGTGGTAATCCCTATGTTCCAGGTACCAGTTCTTATGGTCCGCCACAACAAGGTCAATATTATGTTGGACAGAATGGTCAACCCTATCAAGTTGTCTATGTTGATGGTAAACCGAAAAAGAAGAAATTTGGCGGTGGACTTAAAAATGCTGCTGTTGGTAAGTGTGTTAGTTATTGAATGATCCACTCCTCCTGTCATGTTGCTAGACATCTCTTTGTATTGTTTGTGTTTGATTGGCAGTAGGTTATATAGAAGGTCCGGGCATAATTCCCGACCAATACACTCTTAATCTTCAACACCAAGTGTACTAGCCGGTAGGAAGCCGGATAAATAGTGGGGAGGGGAGGGGTTAGGGCGTGTCAGGCTAGCGGTGACCCTACTCGGGGATAAAACGACATGACTGCTACTGAAGCCCCTATGTTCCATTAGGAACACAAGAAGAAGTAGTGAGAAAAAACACTGACTCAGCTTATTATTCATGAGTACATTGATTTACTGTCTTTGGGAGTTAGCGAGATATTAGGGAGTTGTTCATAATATGTGAATCATTAACTGAAGGTCTAGTGGAGACTACATGCACACTGAAACACGTAATTCATGGTTAGATATGAACTCATCCTTTCTACAGGATTTCATCATGAGCTGACATCGGTTAGAGAACCACTGGAAAACTACCAGCCGTCAGCCTGGTTTGGAACTCTTGATCAGTACGCACTCACACTGAGGAGTTCTACCCCAGGACCTTCTGGTTACAAGGCGAGCTCACAGACCATTAAGCCACTGAGACGCGATCCGATGGCCAGCCCATGAATTCTAACTTCTGCTAATTCATGACAGTGTGACCACTTCTCAATTTCTTCTTCGATGAGTTACTGCCTCACCTTCAACTTGCTGTACCCTACTGCGCACGACTTCCCACTAGAACCCCAGGATCGGGTCCCACTGGCTTAATCGTATACGAGCTCGCGAGCCTTGTAACCATGAGGTCCTGAGTTGGAACCCCAGTGGGTGCGTACTGATGAAGATTCCCAAGCAAGTCTGGCCAAACAGCTGTCCAGTATTCCCTGGTGGTTGTCCAATGTTTCTCTAACTGATGTCTGCTCATGATGAAATCCTCCAACCAATCAAACAAAAATGCCTACAAAACCAATACTTGAAAATATCAACATTGTAATTAGGTCGTTCACAAGAGGAATTTTCCAAACAATTATTCCATTACACCACTGCCTCACCGTTCAGTAGACAGTCATATTTCAACAACTTTTTGTATTGTATTCTGTTGAGATTAATTTGAACGTAGTTATCAGTAAAAAAGTATGGCCTAACTTTCTATAACATGACTATATATTTTTTCTCTATCTCTCTCTCTACAGGTCTAGCCACTGGAGTTGCTGGTGGTTATCTAGCAAGTCGTTTGTTTGGCGGTTGGGGTTCAGGTTGGGGAGGTGGTTGTCATGGTTTCATGGGTCCAAGATGGGGTAGTTGGAGTTCACTGTCCAGTTTCAGTTGGTCTGATTAAATCAAAAACAAAAATGCTTTTCTTTTCTTTATTTGTGTGAGTGTGTGAGTGTATAAGTAAGTAAGTAAGTGCAGTTTTTTCAAATCTCCAAAGGCCGCCGTTCTTCAGTGAAGAGTTACTCCTCTTTACTGGCGATATCATTCTCAAGCTGTACAATTGCATATATGTATAGTAAATTTACTGTAGCAACAACAAAAGGAATCTTTCCAAATATGTGTTATTAGAATTGTAAATTGCGTAATGTAATGGCATGCGATTCGCCCCTGTAAAATGTAAGATGCTGCTACAGGACTGGACTACGTCAACTCCTAGCTTAGTGATAGGGAGTGAAGTGATAGAACATGTTGACCACTTCACCTATTTGGGAAGTTGTATCAGCACCAACAGATTGATTGGTGACGAAATCTCAGCACGGATCCAAGAAGCTTGGGCTGCTTTCGTTAACTTACACCATCTCTGGCGTAGGCATGACATCCGGCTATCAACCAAGGGACGTGTATACTGCTCAGCAGTCCGCTCCGTTCTTCCCTATGGCTCTGAAACATGGCCATTACCAGTTGAAGACATGAAAAGGTTGTCTGTTTTTGATCATAGATGTTTACGATCTCTTTCTCGCGTTAGGTGGTATAAAAAGGTAAGTAATGTTGACTTTAGGCGTAGAGTGTTGGACAGAGAGGGAAAATCAATCGACGAGGCTATACAGTTACATAGATTGAGATGGCTAGGTCACGTACTGCGCATACCTAACCATCGCCTCTCCCGACGGACGGGCATTACTAGCTGATATAGGTGCAGGTTGGAAAAGAGTAAGTGGTGGCCAAACAAAAACATGGCCTCATCAATCCATGAAATCCTTGACAGTTAAACTGAGTCAGGTAGGGAGGGAGATGCAGACTTCCGGGTTGGGGCCCTCGGGACTCTAAGAATCAATGGCTGGAGACACTAGGTGACGTGGCTCAAAATCGTTGTCAATGGCTTACGCAGATGTATTCAGTCTCTGTAATCTCTCATATTCCTTTCTACCATTACTCATTCTGTTTCACTCTTATACTTGTCAAAACTCTATTGATTCTCTTCACTCATTTTCTTGTCTGCCTTTGTGTGCTATTTGGAAAGTGGCAACTCGAACTGCTGCACTTCGGTGCCAAGTTTTATGTTGAATCCAGACAGACAGTAATGTAGAAAGCGTTAAATTAAATAAATAAATTAAGTGACGTAATATAATTGAGTAGAATTCAACTGAAGTTTGAACGAGTGTCAGTTTTACTGTAGTGGTAATAAGGGTTAGAAACTTAATAGGAGCGGGGGCGTGGGAAGAAAATAATGCACTTGAGAAACAAAAAGCAGAAATTACGTATTTGGTGTCAAGATTGATCAGGTTCATTGTAGGCTTAATGACTGAACAAACTTCTTGTGTATGCAGAGTTCAGGATTTAACATGTTCGTTGCCGCCAATTCATCTGCTGTTTGAAGAAGTTTGATTTGTACTCTTTTAGCGAGATTCCCACGTATTCTGTTGATAACTTTGAAGTTCGTTTGTAGGTTAGCTTGGCGTCCTTATCCGATCAAGTGTTCCAGGATAGAGCTGTAGCGTGGGAGGATCTTTTTCCTCCTTTTTAAAACCATGAGGTTAAGTGTTCAGTGAAACGTTCGGATAGTCAGCGCTGAGTACACAGCGGACGTACCTAGCCGCATACAAGCAGATGAATTGGTAGGTGCACATTGATGAGGCCGGCCAACAATGGTAGCTTATCCTTCACGTTCATGTGAATCATTGTAATAGCACGTCCTTGGCCCGACCGATAGCTGCTACCTTGACGTCGTGGTCTGGCTTGTACATCACAATGACCCAACAAGCTACACTGGCTGGAACTATTGTTCCTGCAGGTTCAACCATGCCAGGAAGGTTGTTAGGATAACGATTAGACTAAAAGCAGTTACTGGCATAGTGTAGGAAGTCGTACTGCTGAGGAACAGGGATGTAACATCAGTGAGGTGTGTTTCCCTCAGATGACCAGCATGCCACCCAGCTATGCTGTCTCTCCACTCTGGAGAGAGGGGGTTAGAAAAGGTTGACCCCAACAATTGTACATCCCGACTTACCCTACGGTGGTCCGTAACCAGCGGTAAGTTACTAATACGGAACCAAACCCGTGTGTGACCGGCCTCAAGCAGTTGTCCCTTGGACACTGCAGTCATGCAACACTAACTCTCTTTCTGTTTCAGGTACCAGAAGAACCAATGAACTTCCACGGTTTGAGTAGTCGGGAAGTAACAACCGCCCACACACTTCCAAAAGCACACGAAGCCTTCTCCTCTACTCACACGTCTTTGGAAATGTTCCTTTCGTTGCAAAGAGAAATTTACTCTATATATATATATATATATATATATATATATATGTGCTAATGTACATGTTGAGAATGATGTCATCGAAAAGAGGAGTAACTCTCCACAGCAGAACGCCTCTGTATTTTATTTTTTTAAATGCATTTTTGCGTATTATTGACGTATAAGTCTCTATGTTATATCGTAATTGAGAGTTATTATTTATATTGAATTGTTCTTGGCTTATTTCTTGTTGTTTGCCCATCAACTTGAAATAAATTTTCGGAAACTTTAATAATAATGGATTGGCATCAGTTTAGTCGTGACCAACGGGGTACAGCGGGTCGGGTATGAGGAAAAATACTCGCCGCGCATGACACTGGCTAGTGCCAGTCGGACCATATTGCGAATTGGTAGAAGTTGAAATTCATGGGCTGCCTATTGGATCGGGTCCCAATGGCTTAGTTGTCTAAATTCGGACTCCTGTGGTGGGCGCACACACCTGAAGAATCCCAAACTATGGGGACGAAACAACTGGCTATCCAGTACTCCAGTGCTGGTTTTCCAATGGCTCTCTAACCGATATCAGCTCATGATGAAATCTTGTAGCCAATTAAATGAAATCGCAAATGACATGGCATATGAAGATGTGGAATTATGGCTTATTGGCTTTGGATACTCGGCTTCCAGTTAGTTGATTCCATGTTCGAGTGTCGCCCCCACTACACCCTACTCCAACCTGGGCAACTTAATAATAATATCATCTGCCCTAGCATGATGAGTGTGGCTTGAAACCCAGTATCATTGGGTGGACTGAGTCCCCCCAGCCAATCGACCTGTAAAAATGTTGACAAATGGAGATTTTCTTGATCCTGAGTTTTGAAGTTTCAGTAGCGACTGGATTAAAAGTTGACATTCGCGTGACGAGAACCATTTCCAACAGGCTACTACAGACTTTGATCAGTAGCTGCCTTTACCGGCTCCATACTGAAGATCAGATAGCTTGCGACAATGCATAACACATGTCCTTACCATCTCAATCGATTGATTTTCCCTCCTTACCTAGCACTTGACGGCTAACGTCAACATTACTCACCCTGTTATACCAACTGACATAGGAGAAAAAAATACGGACACCAATCGTCGAAGATAGCTAACCTTTTCATGTCTTTCACTCTCAATGGTCATGTCTGCCAGCCATGAAGGAGGAAAGAGTGAACTGCCGTTGCACAGCACATATACGTTCTATGACCGATAGCCAGTCGGCTGATCACGTCAACACCAGAGATGATGCAGGTTGGCAAATGCCAAACATGCTCTGTCACTTCACTTCTGCCTATCTTTAAGGCAGGAGTCGATTTGTAGTCCAGTCCTTTAGCATATATTTAACATCATATATTTTACAGGAGCGAATCACATGCCAAACATTCGAAGATTACTCCTCAAGATGTTCACAGCACAGACTCTGCATTTTTGGTCAGCGCCTTCCTCACCTAGGAGGACTATATCATCGGCATATTCTAAGTGAACAAGACCGTTTTATGCTGGTACCAAGTTAATCCCCAAAGTCGTTGAAGTCAGTTACAGTTAATTCCTGTGGTGAGAGCTGTCTGCTAGCCAAAATTGGTAGACAGCAATTTACGTCAATGTTTACATCCGAAATCTTGGTCATGAGAAAAAAACAAGAACAAAGACTTTGCGTGGGCGGATACGATTCGCATATACATATATGGTATGACCTTCAAACAAAATGGCCACAAATAGATAACAGATTAACTTTCAGCGAGAGAACAACCAATCAGAAGACGCTGTTTCTCTGCTAACAATAACCTATAATAATGTACATAAAAATATATATAAATCTCAATATAGTAAAAATACTCATTCAGACATCTATAAAACACAAAATAATCGAGCAAAGAATATCCTTTTTGATAATTTCCTGTTCTGGCTCTACAATTACATATATGTTCATATACATAGAATATTCTAGAATAGCAGTCAATAACAATATTAGTGTTTTTTAAATAATATCGATTTGTAAAGTAAGATCGCAATGGAATTACAGTTCATTAAAAATGCTTAAATTATAAAAATAATAAAGATATAATAGCGAATAGAATATCAACTGCTCGTGTGGAGCCAGTTAGTTGCATAGACCGTACAATTAGGCGTGTTTCTCGTCGAATTTCCGAACATCACTCTGCCTAGTGGTTAAGTAAAGGACAAACAAAATCTATTCACAGCGCTATTCTGTCTCATCTTGTGGAGATGGAACACAAGATTGACGTTAATCATGCTTTCAGGGTCATTTACCGCATACCTACGAATCTCAATTTTACTTTAAGAGTTTGACTACTAAATGTTGCTGAGGCTGGCTGTTGGGATCCATATTAACATGCTTAAATTGTGCGTCCAAAAGAAGTTAGTTCAGTCATTATCATTACCTTGGCCATCCAGGTTTGAATGATCCTGAATTTTTGTGGAATTTGCCTAATTTCAATTGATATTCTATTTGCTACTATATCTTTATTATTATTATTATTATTCAAGCATCTTTAATGAACTGTAATTCCATTGCGATCTTACTTGACAAATCGATATAAAAACACTAATATTGTCATTAACTACTAATCTAGAATATTCTGTGTATATAAACATGCACATATAATTGTAGAGTTGGAAGAGGAAATTATCGAAAAGGATGTTGTTTGCTCGATTATTTTGTGTTATATAAATATCTTTTGATTTTCTCAATAAACGATCTGTTGCCTGGCCCTTGTCTTCTGTCGTTACAGTACATGTGTATGCTGAAATTAAACAGAAATGAGGATAGTGCAGCAGGTCGGGCGTGAGGACAAATACCCGCCGAAGACATTGGCTAGTGTTCGCGCTTTGTCATGAATTGGCAGAAGTTAGAATTCATGGGCCATTGGATCGGGTCCCAGTGGCTTAATGGTATACGAGCTCGCCTTGTAACCAGAAGGTCCTGGGTTTGAATCCCGGTTGGTGCGTACTGCTGAAGAGTCCCAAACTAGGACAAAACAGCTGTCCAGTACTCCCAGGTTTTCCAGTGGTTCTCTAACTGATGTCAACTCATGATGAAAATCCTGTAACCAATCGAATCCCTACAAACCAACACTTGAATGAGGATAGTGAGTTGGTCATCCGTGAGGGACACCACTCAACGCTAATTGATGCCCAACAATGAAACCTTAGCCTACTCTCTCTCTACTAAGTACTAAGTACACTTTTCTTGTTTTGTTCTTTTTCTAGCTTCTCCTGTACTGTTGTCCGTTCTCATCAGTATTCTACAATACACACATATTTGTTTGTGCTTGTGTCTTTCATATCTATCTATCAGAATAGAGAGAATGATGCCACAAAGAAAGTCACAATGATTGATGATGATGACGCAATACTTTTCGCGCCTATACACACACACATACACATTCAAATCGTATAAACTTCACCACACATACCCTGAGTAATTTCTTATTTGCTTATTTACGAGGATTATTATTATTTCTACTGCACCGTTCAGATTGACTTTATTTCTTTTCCTCTAGTTTCTCCTATTTTATGTACCTTACATATACATATTTTATACCTCGGAGACACGTCGAGAAAGAGAGATAAAGTGTGTTTGTGTTTGCAAGGATACCATTGTGATACTAGTAGTATGTTTATGTAATGTACAATAAGATAAGATTACCATTATCATCATTATATTAATTATTTTACTTCTCGTTGTTATTCAATTATCTTTGTCTGCTTTATTTTGACTTTGATGAATTGTTTTCATTCACACATAATATTTGCTCTTTTTATTGTCATGTTGTTTATTGATTAATTAATTTCCCAGAGAGAGAGAGACAGAGAAACTCTAAAAATATAAATGCATTTCTAATTGTTGATACCTCCTTCTTCATCAGGTTTAACATTTATATGGCCAATCCATCTCCATTTCTTCCTGCCTATTTCTTTCACAATCGGTTCCTGCTGGGTTGGTTCGCTCATTGCCAGAAATCTCTGTTGCTGATCTTTTCTGACCGGCCATCTGATCTTCAGTAGTATTGAGTGAAGACAGCTATTGATGAAGGTATGTAGTTTTCTCGGAGTGGCCTTCTTGACGCTGCGCCAAGTCCCTGATCCATATAGTGAGTAGCACTGACTTCACATTGGAGTTGAAAATCCAGATCGTATGTTTCATGCTGAGCGCTGATGATCTCCACACAGACTTACTTGATGGTAATGAAAGCATGTTTTGCTTTCTCCTTCCTCGCTTTCATATGCTCATCACTCCCGTCCACTTGTAGTTGAAACGATGCTTCCCAGGTAGGTGGGTAGGTAAAGGAGGTTACTACTTTCAGATATCTCCCATTTATGCTGATTGTTGTCCGCTGTTGTGGTTGCTGGTGCTGTTGACCAGGAGTACAATGCTGTACTATTTGCCTTCTCTGAAATCAAATGTATCTCCCTGTTATTTGCTGTTTTTATGCCGATGAACGTCTCTTTATATACTACTGATAAATCTTATCAGTAGCACTCGCCACAATCCGGCCAGCTAAGAAGAATTAAAAACAAGAAACTGAGGTAGGCAACGAACCAATCAACAACCTATTGTTCAACAAATACTCCGTAAAAGATGGAGATGGATAGGACACATTCTGAGGAGACCGTCCAACGACATCACACACCAGGCTATCTCTCGAGTGGAACCCGAATGGGAAATGACGAGTTGGTCGTGGGTCTGAAGGTGACATGGAGGAGGTCATGTGAGGAAGAGATCGGAGACTATGGTCAACCATGGGACCACTTGAAGATGACTGCAGAGAATAGGATAAGATGGTGATGTGCTCCTGAATCTCTATGTACCAGGGGAACAATAATAATATTATAGTAATGGTTTAAACAGGCTGGCAGAATCCCATCACTTCACTTTAATGTGACTGACTCTAGGCAGATAATTTTTGGTCGAAATGTCATTAGTAAATATTAATCCTGTATCAATTTGTGTTTCTTATCAAAAATAAAATTATTATGTGATGGAAATTAAGTCTATTACCTTCCCTTTATCGCCCTCTGTGAATATCTAAGACAAATTAGTGTCATACTGAGATACTCTTTAGTTGCAGTCAAGAATAATAATTAACTTTAAATAATCAATAAGGAACGTTAGTCATTTTTATAACTAATTATAACTTTGAAATAATTTTATCGTCATCTAAGCCTACACCCATAAATGTATATACACATATAGGTTCACGTGATATATGCTAATTACCTAGTAATCTACTTATGATAATTTAGTTTCTGTTGAATATTGAAATTCTGGTTATCTGAATGATTTGATTGGTTTAAAGGCGAATGGTGTGACAAACTGGAATCACTTTTAAAAACTACTGGTGATCAAATGAGGACTGAACATGTGATTATATATATTGTTTTAGACTTTAACAGGTGTTGAAGCGATAAAGTGTTGAAATCTGTTCAAATAGTTAGACAATATCCCAGCGGCACTCTCAGATATTCATGAAAAATTCCCATTCGAACATTAATAGACAGAAGACAAGTAGTTCAGCGAAGAGTCTCTTTTCGCCAGCGAATTCATTTTCATAGCTGTACAATCGCAAATATTGTATATGGTTGTTTTGTATGTGTGTGTACATTAAATTTGTCAAACGAAAATACAATTAGTAAGTTCAGGTGAATTGAATGTTGATATAAGAGAGTAGTAACAAAAGTGATGAGTTGTCACAAACGATTGTTAAAGAAGAGTTACGTAGTAACATGAATAGTTTAATGAAAGAGTTGTGCTCAGGGTGTACATGGAAACGAAATAACATACGGAATTACACAAGGGTTTTAAGTAGAAAAATAAGCATATAAACAAACAAAAGTTAAGTCAAATCAACACAGTTGTTACCATGAGAGTAGAAGTGGTTGAATAATTTTCTTTTGTATGCAGAGTCCTGGTTTCTCTAGCTTAATGGCTAGGGCTTCTGCGATACAAAGAAGACGGAATCGTACTGTCTTTGGAAGGTTGTTCTTCACTTTGTAGATTACTCTGAAGTAGGAGGTGTTTGTTGAGATGGAATGACCAGTGTTGACGAAGTGTTCTATTATTGCACTCCTTATGCAGCCATTACTTCCTTTCTGCAGCGACGCTGGATAGTGTTCTTTGACCCTTTTTGACAGGATGCGCGTTGAACGACCGATGTACCTGGCTCCACAACAACTGGTGAACTGATATATACACATAGAAGTGGTCAGGTGCGGAATCTTGTCCTTTGGGCTTCCGCAGTTCAGCGGGCAACTAGAGAACACTATTCTCAATGTTGCCGCAAAGAAAGTTATTCTTAAAGAGGTGGAGATTCTCCTTCTAAGGACGTCAGTGAGTAGGTCTCCTTTGAAGTCGAGGTTCACATAAAGTATCTTTTTTAGCACGGATGCTGTCTCTTGCTTTTGGATTTTTTGTTTGATGTCTTCGTCTACGAATATTGATGGGTAACCGTTTTGTATGAAGGTTTCTTTCAGGAAGTTTAGTTCTTCCATGGTATCAGAGCTGCAGATGCGTCGGAAGGGAGTGGCAAGAGATCTAATTAGGTTTCTCTTCCGACTGATTGGTACCCAGCTGTAGAAGCATGTCAGTTGGCTGTTCCATGTGAGTTTCCTATGGATGGACTTTCTTAAAGTTCCGTCAGCTCTCCCTGTAAGTTCAACATCAAGAAAAGGGATTTTAGATTCGTTTTCAATTTCAAGATTGAACTTTGTGGCTGGATGGCATTTGTTGAATATTTGCAGTAACTGATTGAGATCGTGACCGACATCACAAATAATAACGATGTCGTTCACATATCTAGCATACAAATGGAAATAACCAATAGTTGATTTGAGTGGGCCGTTCTCAAGGCTTGTCATGAAGCAGTCTGTTTAAATAGTTAGACGATATCCTCACAGCACTCTCAGATGTGTATGATAGGAATCGGCTTAAAACAGTTATCATTGTATGATTCATCGTGTGATTGGATGATTTTAAAATTTTATCATCTTTTTTTGTCTCACCTTGATCTTGGTCCAATTGTCAACCAATCGGAATATTTATTTCTCACTGACCTAGACGAATCGTCTACCAATCAGGACAATCTATTTTTAATGAAAAATGCATATAAATATAATGTCTTTTTCCTAATACAAATTGCGTCCTAACAGGCAAATCCGCCAGTCTTTGTCTTTTGATATTTGCCTGACTGAGTGAAATGGAAGGTACCACGGACGAATAGGCGTATTTAGCCTATTAGTTGAGTTTTTCATTGAGTCAGTATTATTATACCCACGCATAAGTCCATTAGGTCATATCAAGTGTGGATGCAATCACAACAGGTGGCGACGGTATTATTCTGTTCAGTGCCGACATAACAGTGTATCGCTTCACTGCATACTTGTGACGAAATTCTAATTGCATTTCCCAGTACTTTAATGGTAAAATGTGATAGATTAAGTCTATTATTCCCCATCTGTATGTGGAGGGAAAGCAAATTCGACAGTTGATGTTCTTGGTACTGTTGGATTGTGATCCAGCAGAGACACTGCTGTGTTGGGACTCAAATTCTCTTGAGGCTGTGGATGCGTGAACTATAGAAGAGTTTCAAGTTAGGACCTACAAGCTACCGACAGCTCTCAAATTTTCTCTAAAAAGAAGTCTATTCTGAAATACTTTCTAAGGCTTCTGAAATGATTCGCAAAAACTTATTCAGTATGAAGTGGTTACAAGTTGCGGTTTCAGAAACTATCCTCTACTCATTGAAGGTACTTCGTTGAAATGGTTATTACATTGAATTATTTCGGTGTAGTTGCATCCACTCAGTTTGTTGGTTTAACTGACAAGCTTTCATACATTTATTCCCCTTTATGAATCTGAATAAAGCAAGAACAAAGTTGGTCTTTGCAGAATAAAATAGTATCATCATTGTTTCTTTCGTTGGCTTCTCATCAGCTACTTACAGCCCAAAGACATTATTTTAACATACTTACACAGAGAGTTCATGTTTAAACAAATAATCAATATATGCATACACTGGTATTAATAATAATAATCACTTTATCCCAAACAATAATAATCATACAGAATGGAATTTTTCGCTGTACGTAATCAAATGAAAGACAGGATGAACAGATACCAAGTCAAGGAAAAACTGATAACCGCCTTTTTCAGAACACACAAATCAGGTTTCAGTCAATTAATGGAAAGTGATTCCGTGAACTTGAGGAAAATTGGACATTTTTGCCTATTGTTAATTTTAAACGATCTTGCAACGTCTACAGGATGAAATGTATCAAAGGAAATGCCTAGCAATGGCACTGTTGAATGCACTTATTCCCTTGAGATGCGGACCTTTTGGTATATGTTCAGAAAATCGAAGGTATGCCCTTCTTCTCTTCCAGTGTAACTGCTCCCACAGAAACATGTAAATTTGCATATACAGCTGGAGTTAACATGAGAAGGATATCTGTCCGATAGAGGCGAACCAACTTAGTTGCAGGATAGACTCCGGCCAGTGACATATTAAATTTTATTATTTCTTTCGTTATTCCGTTGTCGATAGTATCTTCATTTAAATTTTATATTTATATTCTTACTGGACAATATTATCAGTGTAAATGCCCCCTGTACTATATAATTTCTTTTTACTCTTTTATGTTCCTAGTGGAGCATAGGGCTGCTTCAGGCTACAGCTTGGAAGTTTCGGTAGCAATGGTGTCTATTTTTTACGGGATGTGGTTGCTAGCCCCATGCCCGACCTTCCCTCTTTACCAGTCTTATTACTAGCTTAGCAAGGTAAAGTAGTGCGTCTGTGACAGGAGATCGAATCCCGAACCTCATGCGTGGTTGGCCAGCACTCTACCGCTGTGC